ATGGATTTACCTGGAGTCAGAAGGAGTACTCGCGTTCGCGTTCCTACTGAGAGGGGGCTGGATTATCAGCTCCCTCTTAGGAAAAAGAATTACAATCAATGTAAGAAGAAATTAGAAGATAAGCTAAACGCTCTAGATATGAGCTGGACGGAGCTGTCAGATGCAGAGGCTTTGAGAAAAGAGAGAACGTTTATAGAAGATTACAGAAAGGCCCTTATGGAGGGATCCTCGGAGTTCCTGCTGCTATTACCAAGCGAATATGACAATGATGTGGCTCGTGAAACAGATTACTTGAACAGGCAAGCAATGGAGTTGAGGAGAAGGATTGGCGAAAGGATTTTCGAACTGGAAAAGGTGGAATTGCGGTCGCGTCGTAGTGGAAAAACGCGTTCTTCAAAGCACTCAAGTGCCTCTCAAATTTCTTTAATGAAGATTAAAACTATGACTGAGTTGGCCAAGAGGAAGGTGGAAATGCAATATGCAAGAATTGAAGCTCAAAAGCAAATGGAAATGCAACGGAAGAAATTCGAAATAGAAGAAATTCAAAGACTGAAGAGTTACGAAAGTGCTAACGCAGAAGCAGATGCGGTGGCGAAGATAAAAGAAGATGAAGAAGGGAGCCCCAAGTTGCTGAACCTTGACCAATTCGGGATCACTAAAGAGGATAAGGAGGAACGGACTCGCAGCTATGTCTCATCTTTAACAACTCTCTCCTCCACCGGCAGTCAGGATCCTTTACCATTCTTGTTTGAACCTTCGGCTAAAGATGAACATCCTTCCATGACGCCAGAAATGGCCCTTGGCACACATCTAAACATGGTGCAAAGAACTAGCTCAGATCAAAAGGAAACCCAAGATAGTGTGCAAGACCTGCCGGGGAAGATTCCCTCTCGTTCAGTACCAAGCGTTGCTTTCACCCAGCCCTTTAGTGGACCTGCCAGCACTGAAAATCAGCACCGTACAATCGCTGAGGCGATAGCTGAAGGCATGGAGGCGGCAAGATTACCGACGCCTCACCTAACAGTATTCAGTGGAGACCCCCTTGGTTGGCCAACATGGAAGGTTGCCGTCGAAACTGTGATTGAGAAAAGGGCTACTAACACGGACGAGAAAATGCTGTACCTTCTGCAGTACTTGTCGGAGCCTTCTAAGAAAATTTTCGAAGGATATCAGTTCGTCCAAACTGGTGACGCTTATGAAGAAGCTAAGAAGATTCTTGAAAGACGATTCGGGCACCCCGCTGTTGTTGCAGATGCTTTCCGCAAAAGATTGGAAGGTTGGCCAAAGATTCCACCCAAAGACGCATCCGCTTTGTGAGAATTCGCAGATTTCCTCAAAACATGTGAACTGGCCATGCGGTGCGTAGAAGATCTTGAAACCCTAAACAAACAACATGACAACAAGCAGCTGGTAAAGGGTTCTGCCTGGCTGGGCACTTCCTTAATGGGGAGTCAGAGTGAGAGACTATCAAATCAAGCACGGTGACAGCAAGTTTCCCCCCTTCTCGGAGTTTGTTAAATTCGTTGCTGAGACTGCAGAAATACAGTGCCTTCCTGTACTTACAAACGTAGACACGAACAGATTCGCGAAAGACATCAAGGCCAGAAATCCCAAAACAAGGTTTGGAAATCGAAAGGGTGATGACGCTAACACGCTTGCTTCAGGAGCAGACAAAGGGCCAACACCAAAGGATGAAAGGAAAGCAGCCTGTCTTTGCTGTGGTTATAGGTCACACGATCTTGATTCGTGCAGAGACTTCATGTTGAGACCCCGGAATGAGAGAATACTGTTAATCATAAGAAAGGGACTTTGCCTAAAGTGCTTAACTCACGGTCACATGGCAAAAGACAACAAGTGTGAAAGTGTTCCAAGTTGCAAGAAATACAAACAGAAACACCCAACCTGTCTGCACAAGGAAAATGCTAATGAAGCTGAGGTACAAATTCCTAAGGCATCAGTTAGCTGTACAGGCGCCTCCAATGCAGAGATTATCCACCCCGATGAAGGCGATGCTACAGCTAAGTGCACAAGTGTCTGCTCCATTGAAGGTCAGCAGCTCGGACATGGCCAACGCTTGATAGTTCCAGTTTGGGTTTCAAGCTCTAATGGTGACCAGTGTGTTCTGACGTATTCCCTGATTGATTGCCAGTCGAATGCCAGTTTCATCACAGACCAGTTAAGGGAAACGCTGAAGGTTGATGGGGTAGAAAGTCACCTGCGCTTGTCAACGATGTACATAGAAGATAAGTTGATCCAATGAAAGGAAGTACAATGCCTCGTGGTAACAGATTTCAAGAGACAGGTTAGCATCCCCTTACCAAAGGTCTACACGAGAAACAGTATACCGTACAAGCCCTCTCAGATTCCAAAGCCCGAGGTTGCCATGCAGTGGGATCATCTTAACCGTATTGCGTCGGAGCTCATGCCTTACAGAGATGATATAGAGGTCGGACTGTTGATAGGAACTAACTGTCCTTAGGCTATTAAGCCACGTGAAGTGATCCCAGGAGCAGACCATGATCCATATGGTATCAAAACTGACCTTGGATGGGGTATTATTGGCAGAGTGTGTAAGACTTCACCTGGAGATTATGAAGACTCGCCTGGAAGTTGGACGAACAGAATTGTGTCACGAGAGGAGACAAGCTTTGCCTTGGAGACTAGGACGAAAGAGATCATAAGCCCTGCGTGCGTTAAGCAGATGTTTGAAAGAGACTTTCAGGAGATAGTTGAACCTAAGAATTCACATATGCGAGCCCCGTCAGTAGATGATAGAAGATTTCTAGAAATATTGGTCAAAGGTATCCACAAGACCAGTGATGGCCAATACGTTACCGCTTCGTTCACAAGATGTTAAGCTGCCTAGCAACAAATCTCTAGCGTTGAGAAGATTGCTTACGCTAAAGGCGTGTTTCAAGAGACCCAAGTTTTCACAAAGATTACACTGACTTCATGGAGGAAACCATTAAGAATTGTGCAGAGGAAGTTCCTTTGGAAGAAAGGATTAACAGTGCGATCGGAGAAGGCAAGATTAACTACGTTCCACATCATGGGATCTACCATCCCAAAAAACCTTCACAGATAAGAGTGGTCTTTGACTGCAGTGCAACGTTCAAAGGAACATCCTTGAATAAGAGCTTACTTTCAGGACCTGACATGACAAACCGTTTAACAGGTGTCCTCTGCCGTTTCCGCCAAGAGTGGGTAGCCGTGACCTGTGATGTGAAAGGGATGTTTCATCAGTTCTTCGTCAATAAAGAACACAGAGACCTCCTCAGATTCTTCTGGTGGGATAAAGGAGATACAAAGAACGACCCAGGGGAATATAGAATGAAAATACACCTTTTCGGAGCAGTCTCGTCTCCAGGGTGCGCAAACTTTGGCTTCAAGAGAGCGGCCGATGACGGAGAAATGGAGTTTGGCACGAACGCGGCAAACTTTGTGCATAAAGACTTTTATGTAGACGATGGATTGAAGTCAGTACCATCTTTCAAAACTGCCGTCGACCTCATTCGTAACACACAAGCCATGTGTGCAAAGGCTGGCCTCAGATTACACAAGTTCAGCAGCAATAAGAAAGAAGTCATTCAGGCTGGTGCCCCGGAAGATGGCGCAAAAGGATTACAAGAATTGGACCTCGCGTGTGACCCCTTGCCAATAGAACAAACTCTCGGCATCATGTGGTGTGCTGAGTCAGACACCTTCCAGTTCAGAATCGTTATTCAAGATCGTCCACTTACTAGGAGAGGGATCCTGTCCACCGTGTGTTCTGTATATGACCCACTTGGTTTTGTGGCACCCCTCATTCTGATGGGAAAACAAATACTACAAGATTTATGTCGTAACAACGCCGACTGGGACGACCCAATTGGTGAGAAGCTTAGACCGAAATGGAAACGATGGCGAAACGAGTTGCACCAGCTGGAGAAACTCAAGATACCTAGATGTTACAAACCTGAGGGTTTCGGTGAAATTAAAGCAGTGGAGGTGCATCATTTCTCTGACGCAAGCTTAGCAGGATATGGTCAGTGCAGTTATCTGCGTCTTCTAAATAAGGACAATCAAGCCTACTGTTCCTTTCTTATGGGAAAGGCCCGTGTTGCTCCGTTAAAGTTCATAACAGTTCCTCTATTAGAGTTGCAAGCTGCTGTCGTTTCGATTAAAATAAGTCAATGGCTGCTGAAGGAACTTGATTACCAAGACGTATCAGAATTCTTTTGGACAGACAGCAGGGTTGTGATCGGTTACATCAACAACGAGACTAAGCGCTTTCACACCTTCGTGGCAAATCGCATTCAGCAGATTCATGATCACACCGGCCCTCAACAGTGGCAGTACATTGAATCAAAGTCGAATCCAGCTGATTCCGCCTCTCGAGGCCTTACAGCTCGTCAGCTTGTAGACGATCATTCCAGGTGGCTTAGACGCCCAAACTTCCTCTGGAGTCCGGGTGCTTATCGAACAGAAGTAGAGGAAAATCCGCAACCACTAGATTCTGGCGACCCCGAGGTGAAGAGAGCACCACTGGTGACGCAAACAAACGAGACACATCCAGCTCATTTTGAGATTAGCCGATTGGATCGGTTTTCCGACTGGTTCAGAGCAAAGAGGGCTATAGCAGTTTGCTTGCGACTTAAACAGCGTTTAAAGGAGGGAAAGGAAGCTGAGCAAGTTGTCAGATACCAACCGGTGAACGTCAATGAAATTGGTCAAGCGGAGATAGAAATTATTCGCTGCCTTCAGCATGAGCATTTTAAGGACGAAATCAAGATCTTGTCATCGCTGAAAGAAAGTGAAGAATTCCATGACAGGAAAACAGCTAAGTAGCGCAACTTCAGCCTCAAGAAATTCAGTAGCTTATACCGACTCGATCCGTTCTTGGACTCAAATGGAATTTTGCGTGTAGGGGGACGCCTTAGAAGGGCCATCATATCAAAAAATGTTAAACACCCCTGTTATCCTGCCTAGAAAGTCTGATATCACTTATGTTATTCTCAAACACTGCCATGAAGAGACCCAGCATCAAGGTTATGTAATGACTTATAATGAAGTGCGTCAACGCGGTTACTGGATAATTGGTAGCACTTCTGCCGTCTCTCGTTTTGTTTCTAAGTGTGTCATGTGCAGAAGGCTGCGCCTCCCTCCGCAGCACCAGAAGCTAGCCGACCTTCCTGAAGACCGGATAGAACCTGCAGCTCCGTTTACTTACAGTGCAGTAGATTACTTTGGTCCCTTTGTGGTGAAAGAAGGTCGTAAGGACGTGAAGAGGTATGGCGTGTTGTATGGCTACTTCAATTATTATTGAGACCCCTGTAAACAAAAAAAATTACAGATGGTTGCCGTAAAAAGATTCTACAAAGCTACGTGCAAGAGTTCTTCGGCTTAGACAGATTGGTATTGGAAAAACGCTCGGTGCGCATCTTCGGTTGAGTAAATTCGCGCTGGTTTCAAAGATTATACCTGCTATCATTCTTTGGTGGTAGTAGATGGTGCAGCTTATGCGCAGAATCAGATACGACTAATTCAAATAGTTTGTTGCACTGTTCAATGCCTCTGTCCTTAAGAGAACTCATATTGTACAATGTGAGGGAATTCCCGTCGGGGAATTCCCGGTCACTTTCCTGGATAAGAACCAACTTATGGACTGGTCGCTCGAGGTAATGAACAGCATCAATTCTTCGTCCTCGCTTGTCAAGACTGCGCGTGGCGATAGCAAGCTTCACCTTTCTAACAAGGCCATCTT